TCGATTCCGAGAAGTTCGACATTAATAAACACGACAACAACAGAAATGAGAGGAAGAAGAGAAGAGAAGAAATTAATTGATACCAAGAAGAGAACAGAAATGAGAGAAAGAAGAGAAGAGAAGAAAAGATTTGACAAGTATAGAAGGAGAATTGCTGGAGAAATCTGAGAAGAGAAGAGAACAAATAGGTTTTTTAAGAATTGGGAAAGGGATTGGGGTTTAAATAATAATTGACAATCCATGTTACCGTTATGTGTCTAATTGGGAAAGGAAAAGTCACTTTTTGGAATCCTTCATGCGCCTAAATAGGTTTGAAGTCACGCTATATGACACCAGCAAAAAACGTGTCTAATTGGTATGAGAATTGCCTAAGAAACGTGTCTAATTGGAAAGAGGTCTAGTTTAAGTGTCTAAGTTAAAGATCGTGCCAACTTTAGGTGTCTCCATATGTATTACGCCTATTTTTAATGATGATCAAATATAATTACTACTCTATTAAAATTAATACAAAAAAATATTTTTATGCTTTCTTAATGAGTGATGTGTAATATTAAGTACATGGTGTCCTTAACATTTATACTGCACACATGAAGTTAAGGACATCATGTCCTTAACATTTACACTGTATATATGAAGTTAAGCACTTGACAAGATACTTTGTCCTTAATATTTATATATTATTTATAAAGTTAAAGACAGCATGTCCGTAATATTTACATAACACTCATAAAGTTAAGGACACTATGTCCTTAATCTTTATACTGCATATGTGAAGTTAAGGACGTGAAGTCCTAAAGTTTAACAACAAAAGGTGCAAATGCAAGTTAAGGACATTATATCCTTAACATTTATACTGCACACATGAAGTTAAGGACGCCATGTTCTTAACATTTACACTACACATATGAAGTTAAGGACATGACATGACACTTTGTCTTTAATATTTACACAGTATTCATGAAATTAAGGACACAATGTCCTAAATATTTACACAGTACCCATTTGTAGCACAGGAGTATTTTCTTCCGGACGGATAAAAATTTATTAAGCACTGACTGAAGAGTAAATACATTTTAAACAGTGGATAAAGAATAAAGACATCTCTAATTAGTGGCTAACTGTGCACTTCTGAGCATTGCCATCACGCAAGCTATGATTCCTACTGCTTCTATCCCATTGGGAAATTTTCATAGTTACTTAAGGATTTGTAAAATATTCCACAATATACAACTTGGTTTTGAATTACAAATTGTAAAACATATATGTTATAAATATACTCTAAAAATAA